TTTGTTCAGGGATTTCCCTCTACTAGCGCATGCGCATAGCACACCATTTCTTTGTTAACAAAATGACTGGCCGTGTGAAGTAAGCGAAAGAAAAGTGTTGTACCGTGTCAGCTACGAAACGAAAAGTTGCCAAATGGTCAAAAGATAGCGCAAGGAGTACGTTACGGAATCATTATTGCAGGTGGGCAGTATTCAAAGGAGAAAATAACTGTCGTAGCAGTTAGTACGGTGCATNCGACGCTTATACACTAGAATTATCCTTTTTTACAAAATTATACACAGAATCGTAGCTTTAAACCCAACACATATACTCACACCTGTAGACCCCCGCACCAGACAGGTACACCCGTACGCATACAAACACATATCTGCTACAAAGGACACCTACAAATACTCATTGTTCCCACACACAGTAACACAATGGAATCTCCTCCCCTTAGCAGCAGTCCAATGCACAACACTAGAGGACTTCAAGGCACACTTACCCTACACAGCCCTTGAAGCCCTCATCACACACTAGTACATACACCAGATTTTAACTTTTTATCTATACCTTGCACAAAAAAAAATCACAAAAAAAATAAACCCCCACCCCTAATCACTATAAATAACCCCTTCACGCCTCTACAATATCCAATTACTTATTATTATTTTTTTTTTAAACTGATAATACGCTCGGTGGTTATAGGAAAGCTGCAACGTATGTGTTCTGGCCACGTGCGGGTTGTTCCGTTTGTTTGTAAAAGAAGGGATGAGTCAGCCACCCCACAGCAATCCTATGGCTAATCGAATTTAACAACATTATATATATATGCATACATGTACAGGTACACATGAATACACATATATGTACCGCCGGGGAGCGATGTACAAGCTTAAGCTTTTTTTTTTTTTTTTTTTTGTTGAATATATAGTTTTATTTATCAAAGATTAATTACTACCTATACGGTCATGTCACATACCAACTAGTTTCTGGTCACCCGTCCCTCCGGCTAGCCACACCATACAGACACAGATATAGGTATACAGGTAGCAGGACAAACTATCAAGTCTGTTAAATAGTGTAAATATAACTAGAAATAATTGAAATCAATTTAAAATAAAGTATAAGTTTTCCTTCTTTGCATAAACAATACATTGTATAAATCAATAAATTTCACACAACGAGTGCTGGTCCATATGTGTAAGCAAACTTAACATTATATAAAAGAATAGTATTTGTGTATATAACCAATCATTGGTGTTATTTATCATATATTTATATATATGTTTATATACATACAAAGAGCGAAATAATATATCAAATGTGATGTTTTCCAAAAAAGGTAGATATATATATGTATTTTAAATATATATGTTTTCACTTATTTTTTCCTTCTGTGTTGATAAATTTAAACAATACACACAAAATTCTCAAATAGGGAGCATGTTCCCATTGAGAGAAATGATTTTGTATTGTGATATTTCAAAGATATTCATACTGTTTACAATAACACTATCTCTGTATTTCATTTGATCATGAGAGTAACTTCCACATTTTGAGAAACAAAACTAAGAATGATTCCATTAGCCTGCTAAATATCTAGTTATCGGTCTTTCTTTTTGGTATCTATTTAGAAACAAATCCATGAAACAGCGACCTTCTCAAACAGAATTTACATGTGACGGTCAAACGTTTAGAGACCCAAAAATTGTTGTAAACAAATGGGCATCTCACTTCGAAAACATTTTCAAGAATGACTGCAATAGTTTATTTGATGAAGATTTCAAACATGACGTTTCGAGTAAAGTAAGAGATATAGATGTCCAAATCTGCGAAGAGGACAAGTTTTTGAAGAAATCTGTTACTGTATCTGAAATCGAAAATATATGTAAAAAGTTGAAAACAAATAAGGCAGGAGGTCTAGACAATCTTGTTTATGAACATTTGAAATTTGGAAACTCGTTGCTATATGTCCACCTATCAAAATTGTTTAATGCCGTAATTAAGTGTCAATATATACCAAAAGAGTGGAAAATGGGAACAATAATTACTTTGCACAAAGGAAACGCAAAACCTAAAGATGACCCTAATAGTTATAGGGGAATTACTTTGTTACCAGTCATTTTTAAAGTTTTTGAAATGATTTTAGCTAAAAGATTAGATTCAGTTCTTAATTGTAACAACTTTCCGAATAAGCAACAGTCAGCATATCAAAAAGGACTATGCAGTTTGTTAACTGCATTTAATCTGCAAGAATGTATACATTATAATTTAGAAAGAGAAGAAGATGTTTATGTGGCCTTTTTAGATAGTAACAAGGCATTTGACACCGTATGGCATGATGGTTTGTTGTATAAGCTAAATGAGATCGGTATCACTTCAAAGACATGGCATATTTTGAAATCAATATACACAGATATAAGAAGTAGTGTTATATTTAATGGTTTAAGTTCAAGATGGATCCGTATGGAGAGGGGGATTTTACAGGGGAGTGCGTTGTCTGCCAAAATGTATCTTGTATTCATAAACAGTTTATTAGACAGTATTGAAAAATGTGGGAAGGGTGCACTTATTGCCGATTTAAGAATTAATATACCAACACAAGCAGATGATATATGTCTGGTTAGTACACAGCGTAAAAGCTTACAATACATGCTCGAGATGTGCGAAGCGTATAGCAGAAAGTGGCGTTTCACATTTTCTGCAGTTAAAAGTAAAATAGTGTATTTCTCTAGAAAAAAGAAGCGAAATCTTAGTACGAAATTATATCTATATGGGCATCTTCTTCCAGAAGTTGAGGATATAACACATGTTGGCGTGATGTTGAACTATAATTTTAATAGTATGGAACGTACAGTACGCGCATGTAATAAGCTTAAGAGTGGTGTCATGAGTTTAATTAAAAGTGGTGCTCATCCATGTGCATTAAATCCTTTAACGATTAGTAAAATACTGAAATCAAAAGTATATGCTTCAGCCCTATATGGGTGTGAATTATGGTGTCTTCAAAAAACCGAAATTTTAATGTTAGAAAGAGCACAACGTTTCATTTTAAAGTCAATTCAGGGGTTCCATACAAGAACCCGTACAGATATGTGCACAGGCCTTCTGGGTTGGTTAAGTTTAGAAGCATACATAGATACCAAGAAATTATTATTGTTTGGAAGATTATGCAACTTGGAGAAAAACTGTATATCTTATCTTGTGTTTTTTACTCGTCTTTGTATGGCAGTTATAGGGACCAATGTGTATAATAATGGATTTATGAATGAAGTAATTAGGGTACTAAAGAAATATGATTTATACAAATTAGTACAAGAATGTTTATCAAATGGAATATTTCCAGTGAAAAGTATATGGAAAGCGAAAGTAAAGCATAATGTACAGTTATATGAAGAAAAAGGATGGAAGGAGAGAATGAGTGGTGACCGCGATTTCTGCAGATTTATATTTGTTCATGATAATTTGGCTCCTCATATATTGTGGAAATTGTTAATAAAATTTCCTCAAAACAGAGAAGCCATACATAGTATAATGAAATTGATTGTATCTCTAAGACATTCAGAAAAAACTGAATTATGTCATAAATGTGGACAAATGTATAACGATATATATACCCACATAGTTTTACAATGTGATTGTACTGAAGACTTACGAGATCAGTTATGGTGTCAAGTCATTAATACATGTGAACTTATGTTTAGTGTATATTTACACTCTCATTCAGACTATGAATTATTTCACCTACTGATTGGTGGCAATATAACGTATGAACTGAATACATTAGAGTTAACAGAATTTCGTATGGCATCAGTCAATCATATTTCAAAAATGCTTAATGTATACTTCGAATGATTATTCAATACTTTTGGGTATATCATTCTTAACATTATTAATTATGTATTCTTTTGTAAACTGTACTCAAATTGATTAACTTATTTCTATTATGTTAACTTATTATGTTGTGCAATAATTTTTGCCTTACCATCTATTTGATTTTGTATCTATTATCTTATATATCATTATAATTACATTATTCTGTTTGTAAAATCTTCTTAAAGGAGGAAATAAAGAGAATAATAATAGTGCGGTAAGAAGTTGCAGTTGCCTGACGGCCCCTCTCTGGGGGCCCCTTTGGAAACCGGCACCACTTGTGTTTACTGCCTAGTCAGGTGACGTTATCGGCGCTATTTTTAGCAGGGCTTTCCCGAACAATTCAAGTGGTCAAACTGGACATTTGAAACGGACTATGAATATGGGGATAGTATGGTGGCATTATGGTGGCATATTTCTGCCATCCACTTGCGACTTACGAGTTACGTATGTCGACATAATTATTGAAAGATGTCGACATAATCTGAGAAGATGTCGACATAATCTGAGAAGATGTCGACATAACTTTTAAATAGCGATGTAACATAAGTGGAAGTGCATACTATACATACTTTCATTAAAAAAATAATGCCTTTTCACGTGATGTCCCTTTAACACTTTTTTTTTGTGTACGTATTCTACACGTTCATTTCCCCTTACAGATATTGCATATATCGAAGTAATATTTACAGGTATACTACACACAATGAAGCGATGGAATTATTTTGGTTCAAACGTACACGCCCATTTAACTAAAACAACTTTCGCCATATATAGTTTGTAAAATTACTCTAAAGCGCTTGTGAAAGACCTGATGCCAGACCACGTCTATATAGGCCAAATATCGTCTACTAGGCCAAATATCGTCCATTACAAATGTGAAGAATATATCTGAATTATTACCTTTGTCATGTTAGGTTAGGTAAAATGATCAGAATGAAAGCGTTATATAAGCTACTGTATACTAGTGCCGAAGTACAAAATACAGGTAAGATCTTACTGATACAAACAAGTGTCTGTTTCCGAGGTTTTCTTTTTCTTTTTTTCTCTCTCTTCATTTTGTTCGTAGTTAAAGTGAGGAACTAGAGAATACTCGTTGTCCCTGAGTAGTGGTACATAGCACCTCATTGTTCAATAGACCTACCTTGTCCAACATGTAACGTGCTCAGTAATCCAATCGCGAATAATGCCACGATTGAAAGTAGCGTCACAAACACTTTCCTGACAGATAGCAACATCTTCGAAAACTTCGCATTAATCAAAAATAGAGTTGTTTTCGTTAATTTTACGAAAATGGAGGCCCACTTCTGAATTCGTCCGTCAGACAGGTAAGACGCGCTTGAGTGATTTCCTTTCCTACAAACTACACGCCGTGCATAGGCTTCTACATGTACAACGCAAAGGTGTGTTACGTACGTTTCGCCCGTCGATTTCAGGTATAAATCGAGAACATGTTGACATTGGCGAATTGTACAAAGGAGCTCTTTGTAGTCGCTCATTAAGCCATATACCTGGGGCATACCTGGGGTGGGCTTGTGTGTATAGAAGTACAACACAATGGTAACGTCCACTACTATGTCCAGTTTCAAATAGGTTTAATTTAATCCCGGCTGACCTGGTAATGGACAGGCTACGGAATAACACCACCGTGGCAAGTATAAACGGATTTCAAAACTTATTCGCATAAACGTTTCCCCTTAATAATAATAATAATATTTATTCAGGTAAAATAGGCATGTTATTACAAGATATCACAATTTAGAATAAAATATATAATTAAGATCACAATGCAGCTTGCAAATAAAAAGAATATTTTGTATTAAGACTGAGAATAATAATAGATCTATTATAATAAAAGGTTTCTTAATTCGTTCCTTGACATATATAACAGAGTATAAAAATCTGAAAAAAAGTCTGATGCACACTGTAAAAAAGGCAGATATTACTATAAAATGAGACAGACTGTTTTTAGTATATGAAGGTAGATATAAATAGGTTGCATAATAGGAGTAGTGTGTGCCATTTACCTAGGATAACCCATAAAAGCCACAAAGTGGCTTATTTCCCATGGGGTCCTTTAAAAATGGAAGAAAATAAAAGCAAAAAATAAGAAAATAAATCCGGTAACGGTTCAGATAGCACATGTGTGTATCATATTAGATAATTGATCTGTAGAATTGTATTTCCATTTATATAGAAAACAATACAACATACATAATAATTTTTATTTATAGTGGCAGACAACCTCTTATAGTAGCAAATTATAAAATATATAAATTAAACGACCGCTTCATTGGAACCTTGGTTGAGAACGACATTGAAGGAACAGTGGTTTAATTTTGGAATGACCTGTAACTAAGGCATTTCGTCATAGAGAGAGTTTTCAACAGGGTAGCCCTGTGTAAATGTGAACTCGAGACATCGAAATATCTCGTCAGTTTGAGATTTGTCTGATTTATTTACGTCCTATAACAGAAGGTGTCACTGATGGCGTATAGTCTATTGTAGATGAAAATTGTTTATTTTCACAACTATACTAATGCTTGTAATAATCAACAATAAAACAAAGATAATATTAATAAAATTAATGATAGCATAGGTTTAGTTTATGCAAGATGAACAACTGGAACGACAATGGCTAGCAGCCGTTCTTTCTAATATTACAGTGTACCAGCTGTGATACGGTTAACCAATCACAGAACGTGAAACAAAGCACAAAACCAATTTTGAAATTAAACGACAGGATTGCGATGAGTAGCCATTAAAATTGGGATACATACAATGTAGCCTTGTTGTCCAGCGTGGCACCATTAGAATATGACATCAAATGTTACACTATTAGCTGTTTTGACCCAGTAATGTGTTCATCGTTGTTATATATAAGTAGTTTCAAAATGTAATAATATAATCTTGCTTGAAACAAGCATTTTCATTGGCTTAAAAGTGTATGTTATCAGTCCATAATGTAAAAAAAAGACGTCGCCGTTTGTAACGTTGCTTTTGATTGGCTGATACTGCAGCGTAATAATTTCTAAGAGAAAAGAGTCCCTCAATACAGGGATTGTGTATATAGAGAATAATACATGTCTTTTTCCATATCACACCCAGTATCAACCCGAGACTGCAATATCAGCCCAAGGGCCAAAGGCCCGAGGGCTGTTATTGGTCGAGGGTTTATACCGGGTGTGATACGGAAAAAGGCATGCTTTATTCTGTTTATTCCATACTTACTAATAAAAGCTACTATATAGAGAGGATCTAGCACGAGTGTTCATGTTAGATTGAATTTATTGAACGAGTATATTAATTTCATATGAAACGAGCCTTTGGCGAGTTTCATATGAAATTAATATACGAGTTCAATAAATTCAATATAACATGAACACGAGTGTTAGATTCTATTTATTATATAATTCGAGAAACCTACCTACATAAGTGGTTTCAATACTAACGTCTCTATATGCAATGACGACGAGAAAGGACGCATCACATATACTAATTTGAGAGCATGTTCCGCTAACAAAAGTAGTCCGCAGAATTTTATCAGAATAATAAATGGCCAACAGTTTTACTTTTAACGATCATTTTAATTGTGATAACAATTGAAATAATAAAAGTTTACAAAATATGACTTCTTTTTTTTCGCTTCGGAAAAAAACTGTTTTTTTTCATCGGTGACGTCATGAACAGTGTAAGAGCGCGCGCACTGTGAAGGTCGTCGGAAACCGAAAACACATGTGTTGGATATTAGGCCTACTGAGAATCACTGTCACTTTCTATAACACGGGCGCGTTTTTTCAGAGGAGGTCCTTGGTAAACATGAACTTGTATGTTTCCTCCTGTGACAGCACCTGAAAAGATACTTTGGAAACCGCCCTGGACCCTGACAACAGAGGAAGTTGACTGGTTACACGCCATTGATTGTTGTGTCAGTGATGTTGTGTTGCATCCGGTCTCAGGTGCTGTTGGATTTCCGTGCAGTATTTTGGAGATTTCTTTGTGTTGATTCGTGTTGATGTGTGAATAATTATTAATAGAAGAAATGTTTCGGTGACCAGAAATTTGCATTATATGGTTAGCGGGGATGTTATTATCGTTCAATTTCTGGACAAGATATTTCCTCGCACTGTGATTTGACAAGTGTTTGTCAGTTTGGATTCCTGCTCCCTTTATGGCACGTTGCATCATGGATTTTAGCTTGTTGATACCAACGGGTTGGCGCTTGAACCAAGTCTCATGACTCATTACAATAAGTTTATATAATAATAATAGCGACTAAACAACGACTGTTCTGAGTACATCTTGACTAAATTAGATGAACAGACCACATGGGCGTAGGAATACGACCTAGTTCCCACGGTGTCGCGCGCTCATTTGCATCTTTATTGCACACGTTCAATATCAATTTTATTGCACCCCTTTATTGCACTGCAGAAGCCTTATATTATATAATAATATGATATATTTTTCTTTTGAAATATTGAAAAACGAAAATTTCCACAAGGGGTGTGATACGGGTTTTGCGGGCTGATACGGGTTTTGGGGTGTGATACGGCGGGGGCTGATATGGCTTTTGGGGTGTGATACGGCAAGGGCTGATATGGGTAACAGCAATTGTATCGTATCGTATATACAAAAAAACCGTATTTATTAGTAAGTATGTAATAAAACTCCATAACATGAAAAATATATTTAAGTTGATCCTTAAATATTTACATTTCCTAGATGTTTCTACCGGGCCCAATGTATGTTATTTCCGTATAACATACATTAGGCTATTGTGACGTCGCTATGTTTATGACGTCATAACTGTAACGTTGGAGATTGCACTGCTCCACTGTCAACTGGTGGCGGTTCTCTGTATGGATTTACCCTGACGTTGAAACTTGTTCAGACTAACATTATGTCTTTATTTCTGCGCGAACTGTAAGTTGATTAACATAAAATGTAAATATAAGTATGCGTTGTCATATTTTTGACATGCATTGATGTGTAACATACATTGCCTTACCTACATATTTAACATGGTGCGCGCTACTATGATGGCAGTTAGCGGCCGTCACGTCGTATATATGTATACGAATTGTCAAGCAACCCTACACAATGACACAGAATTAAAAAACTGAGGGATAAATTTCATCCAAATAAATGTAAATATATGCATATAGGAAAACATGTATCAGAAAATAATGTAACTTCCTACCATTAAGCAAATGATATCCTTCTAGTCAACAGATACTGTAAAAGGATAGGAGTCATTATTGACAACCAACTCGAATATGAGCAACATATATGTGAAAAAATCAGGAAGGCAAACGCAATGGCCGTAGTCATCAGAGGAAGCTTCCAACACCTGGACGGAGAAACATTCAAACCACTGTAGAAGAGTGGTAGGCACACAGCTATACTTCTCATGTTCTGTATGTTCATCTAAACCCCCGCTCAAAGTCTACAAGTCAATATAAAAAGAAAATGTTTGTCACCAAGTCACCGAGGCGTGAAATGTAGGTCAAAATCAGCATCAATCATGAAAGTATCGAAAGGATAGCAGTTGTAGTAAGGTATTCATAGACGAGACCAATTCTTATTAATCGGATGTACGGACGGACGGCCGTACGGACGTACGCACACACGGACGGACGCCATTTGTATATCCCCCGCAAACTTCGTTGAGCGGGGGACATACACCTATTAGATGTAAGATACGACGGTCGCTATCGGCCATCGTAGAATACCATATACCTGTATGTTCACCCGTGCTTCGAGCTTGTGCAAAATAATATTACTTAGCCATACTCGTTAATTTTATCTAGGTAATAAAATATAAGTCAGATATTTCGGAACGAGATTGCTGACAAATATAATTACGCGAGTTTGTGCCACGAAATGATTAATGATTATCGGTTCAGCAGTATAACCCAATCAATTATACAACTGAGTTCGGTATGTTTACATAGTTGGCACGTAAAACATATGGTATACAATAGACAACCACTAAACAACCTCCTTTTCATAGTTTATAGGGTAAAAACTGGTTTGAATATAGCGAGGATGGGGGTTTGTTGGTATGGTGTAGAACGTTTTAGCAAGGAATTAGGTCTAAGTCCGTGGTCCTAGCAACATTTGTATATGAAGACCGCGAGATTATTTAAGAAATAATCAACATATGTGCGTGCATTATGGTGGAATATATAACGAGGGGGGGAAAATGTTGATAAAATTTTCCAAAATTTTCGAGCCCCGAGTTATATATCCCACCATAATGCACGCACATATGTTGATTATTTCTTAAATAATCTTGCGGTCTTCACATACAAATGTTGATCATTTTTATTCTACCACGTCAAATGTAACTAATTGTAAAGTTTTGCTGTCTTATAAGGCGACATGACCTAGATAATTTATTATGCAAATTAGACGCTGTTCTAAGATTTATCACGTGCAAGATTTATCACGTGATCGCGTGCAAGATTTATCACGTGATCGTGTTGCCTCGTTTTAACTTGATCAATGTCGCGCCAACATTTCTAAGTGCGTAGGGTTGGGATTCCCGGATTGCGTTTACTT